GCTCTCCAAGGAGCTCGCCACCAAGGAGCCAGGCAGCTCGGCAAAGCTCGCCACAAGCAGCTCGGCATAGCCCAAGGAGCTCGGCATAGCTCCCCTGGGCAGCTCGTCACTTGTAGGGTAGCTCGGTACAGAAGAGTAGTTTGGTGTATCGCAAGAAGATCTCCTGCTTGACAACTTGGCCCAGACACCGACCCACCGACTGACACAGGTGCCGACCTGACAACCTAGCCCAGGTGTCAACCTGGCCGCCTGACACAAGCGCCAGCCTGACAACCTCGAGGAGTTCACCACCGTACCTCGGTTCTGACGGGATATGACGAGTCTTACCGTTTGAAGGCTTTTCACCCACCTAACCCGCGAGGACACCACTATACAAGGACTCCGACCCCCAAAGCCAAGAAGAGGGAAAAAATGATGGTAACCCCTGCTCTCTAGCTCTCTCATTTCTCTCCAAGCTCTCTGTAATCAAAATGCTAACTTAAGCATTGGAGAGTCCTCGCCGGGAAAATACCCCCGGGTCCTCTGATTCAGTTTTCGCAGGTCCCTCAGCTCTCGCCGCCTACAAAGGAGAGGAAATCACCTCATGCAGAGGGCAGTCGGGTTGCACTGCACAAGGGAGCTCCATCATTCTTTGAGTTGCAGGCTGCCTAGGAGCAGGTCAAATGACGAATCCACCAGGCAGTTCTCCCCCAGGCAGTTCGCCACCAGGGAGCTCGCCACCAGGCAGTTTGCCACCAGGGAGTTCGCCACCAAGCAGTTCGTCACCAAGTAGCTTTCCACCAGGGAGCTCGCCATCAAGCAGTTCTCCACCAGGGAGTTCGCCACCAAGTAGCTCATCACCAAGGCACGTCACCACCGGGTCAAATAACGAGGTACTTAGCCAAAAAAATTTTTACATCACAAAAAAATGGTACGTGACCAAAAACGCATCAATCATGATCTGTAGCTAATCATAATCTGATTTGATTAAGCTAAGCTCCTAAATAGTTTATTTCTTTCTGATCCAATTAAACATGAATCCAAAATCTAGCATATTTGATACATATAATATTGCATCTTTTATAAGTACTATTATTAGAGGGGAGCACTATTAAGGTGGGTATGACTTAATAAGAGTTGCTTTCCTTGCATGTAAGAGAATTCACAATAAGATGGTTGTTCTAATAGAATGAGAAGTGCAGTTACTTACTGAAATGAATAAAAGATTTAGGTTGCGTTTGGAAACAATGCAAATGGAGTATAAATTCTGGTTCAAGGTAAATGTAAATTTGCACTCTTGGTTCACTTTTGTCTTTGTTTGACAACATTACATTTATTCATTGACAAATGACAGAAAATACACTTTCTAATGCATATTTACAATAATAATAAGATGTAAAAGTGCGTTAATAAAAAAGTAAATTTGCATTTAAGTGGGTTTTTAATAATAAAGGGTAAATCACACGGACCCCTTACTATGGGGCAAGTGACAAAGACCCCCTATACTTTTTTTTTGACAAAGAATGAAAGAACCTCTAAATTTTTACTTTGCGACAAATACCCCTTGACCGTTGATTTAGATGATGAAAATGTTAAATTATCAAAATACTCCATTAATCTTTCTTTATTTTCTTTTTATGCCATTTTTTTTCTTAAGTTTTCGTTTGGTTTGTGGGAAGATTTGGGTGGGATGGAAAAGTGTAAAAATCTAACTTTCTAATGTTTGGTTTCATTGGGATGGGATGGGAAAATGTAAAAGGGGATCAAATGTCATTGTTCACCTTCCTCTTTTGTTCGAGACCAACAAAGGAGAATCAGGCGACGGCTACTCCCTTTATCTCCCACCTCTGAAATGGGACTGTTCACCTTCCTCCTTCGTTCGAGACAAATGGAGGCGAGTCAGGCGACGACTACCCCCTTCATTCTCGTGATCCAAACATGGAAGAAGCTTAATCTCACGAAGTGTACGTTTGGCATCCATGTGATTATCAAACGCATTAGCTATCTTCTTGATGGCCACCATCGTTGGTCTCCGAATTCATTACCGAGCTAGAATCACACAACAAAGGAAGAGCCAATAAGAAGATGGTAAAAGTTCTCTCCAGTTCGGACAAGGGGATTTTCTTTTCTGTTTTCCATATCAAAAAATTCAAAAGATCGAATTCATCTTTCTTGTTATTAGGGGATGATTCCGTAAGTGTCTCGTCCGATGGGCATTATCGGGGGACGATACCGAAGATGTTGTATTGGATGAAGCCGCCATCATGCGTCCGAATGGCCGGAAAATCCGAAGGGTTACCGGCGTTCATGTTCTAAGGACCATTAGACATCCCCGAATCAGCAGCAGCAGCTGCTTGCATTTCTTGGGCGTCTCTTCTTCTTCTCGTTTCAACTTCTCTGTTTATTCCTGATTACCACTGTAACTTGTATGGTCGTGCTCTTCTAACTCTGCCATAACTTGTTTAGTCGTCGTCGCTGCTGCCTTCGCCTCGTGCCCTTCTAACTCTGACGACAACGATCCCACTGGCATGGTCGTGCTCTAACGTCGCTGCCGCGTTATGGAGGGAGGGAGGGAGGAGAGAGATCGTAACTCGAGCTTTTTCGAGTTTTCCCACCAAGGTCGCACTGTTTTAATGCGATCCGAATTCATGATTTTGAGATCTCGCAGTTCAACTTTTTTTCATCCCATCCCTTCTTTCTCTCAAAATAAATATATATAAAAAAATAAAATATTTTTAGAATATTCAATTTTTTCTTATCCCCATCCAACAAAAACGGAGCCTAAAACTCTTCAAGTCGAACGTCGAATTCCAGCAAAGTGCATCACAGAAATCCCACGGACCGGTGAGACAGAATCTCCACCTGGGTACAGCAAGGAACAATCATTCCTTCTTTCTTCATCTCTTCCAATCCGCTCAAACTCTGTATCTTCTATTTTTCGCGTCCCGTTGACGGTTGATCCACAAGAACGGCCGATCACTTTCTAGCAATCAATCTGCAATCTCTTTTGCGAGGAACCATGGAACAGATCCTCACCAAACGATTTGTCTGATGGATTCTCACCGTCCAAAAACACCGACGGGATTAGCCACGTCAGCTGCCCAACTGAGTAATAGAGTGTAGATTAAGCAGGTCACCGCGTGACCTTCGTTAGCAGAGGCCAAGATGAAACAAAACGAAAAGAATTGCAGATTATGGGATGAAACTGAGGTATCAATTTTGAAGGATAGTCTTAGTAAGGAATCCGAGTAAGCAGATTATGAGCGGTGGTGCCTCTTGTGATCTGGCATGAAAAAACGGGAAAAGGGAGCGGAGGAAAGACGATGAAGAATACAAAGTACAAAAAAAGCTAAATGATTTGTTTTGTTAAAGAAAAGGGTAGTTTGGACATTTATATCAGACAAGAATCTCGAAAATCTTTTTTAGTTAATTGACGAAATGTTATCGGAAGAGGGTCTTTTGTCTAATGGTTAAAGTTGAGAGGGCCTTTACTGCAAAAAAAAAAAAAAAGTATAAAAGGTATTTGTCACTAATCCCATAATACAGAGGGGTCCGTATAATTTAAGAGGAGATGCTGAGATGCAGCATTGGATAGCATACAAAAAATAGATATTCACAATACATTGGCCCAGCTCAGGAATTTACGGGCCTATCCCAAAACCTATGCCCAAACCCAAATATTTCCGGGCCAGGCCGGAAATGATTTTCCTCACGTTTTGTGCTTCTCAGTTCTCACTTTTCACATCGGTTTGAAACGCCCTCGGGCTGGGCTGTCAATAATTCGGCCCAAGACCAAGTTGGCCCTTAACCATCTCAGCCCGTCCAAAGTCCAAACCCTAAACACCTGAACCTTGAAACCCTAAAATTGTTGTGTCAGAGAATAGACAAAAGAAGAAGAGAGTAGGTGATTTGGCTACTGAACTCTGTCGATTAATCGACACAAATCACAATACGACCAAGCTCGATTGAAAATCTGTAGTCTGAACCTGTTAGATAAACGATCAGAAGGGGTAGAAGATTTGGCACACTCCAGGCCCCAAAGCGAGGTAGGTCGATCTGTCCTCAGGGATCTGTTTTTCCTTCTGTTTCTTTATCTTAGATGTTAGATCTATCTCGTGCTTCTGTCATCCTTTGTTTTGTTTATTTTTGGGTAATACTCGGCTTATTCTTGGTTTTCCTTTTGTTTTCTTCATGCTTTAGCCTGCGGGAAGAACTGAGGGGAGGACTGTGTACAAACTGTGAGTCTGCAACTTAGGCGCAATCCATTTAAATCTGTTGCAGTAATTTTTTTTTATTAATGTCTTTTGTTGGGGATTACAAAATGAGGGGAATTATTGCGTCTAGTTTTAGTGGTTTTGTCTTTGCATCTATGAATATCTGGAACTTGCTTATTTTTTTCTTATTTTTGAGTTACTTTATTGAAACTAACGCATTTGATGTTTAAAAATGGTCTCGGTATAGGCATATTCTCTCCCAAGCCCAGCTCAATAAACTAGATATCCTTGTTGACATCCAACTTTGTTTATAAAAATTTTCTGCCAAGCATATCTTGTCAATACCATTTCAGAGTAAGCTGCCCAATGTAACGTATTGTAGAATAATATGAGAATGGAAAGTAAAACCTTCTTACTTGTACTGCAATACTATTCTGTATGCCCCTGTGCATTGTCAAACTAATATCAAACTCTGAACCCATTTGAAAGTCCTTGAGATCCATGCAAATCATCAGTATAAATTAGCAATCTGTTTGGTACAATTGCAATTTTATAGCTAAAACAAATACACACTGCATACACAGGACAGAAGAATTGCATGCAGGAAGTAGATATTTAAGAGAAAGAATTGCAATTTTGCATATCTCCACTTAAAAAAAAAGAGAATAATTAAGACTAAAGCCCAAATTCTATAAATTTCTATGACTTTGAATGAATAGCTTAATAAAATTTAGTTAGTAGTTATCTAGACAATTATTCTTCCAGGTTATTGGATCAGAGATTTTTTGTCAGGAAAATCCATAGTTCAGAATTTCAGATCATTAGAAGGGGTTCATTCCATAGCATCTAAGATAATAAAATGAACAAAAGTGATTTGACTCTCTCCAAAGCAGGAAAATAAGAAGAATTATGATTAAAAAATCAGGAAATTTTATGTTTTATGCGTGCATGTTTCAGTGATTTAAAAGGTGCGCCTAGGTACACAGGCGAGGCGCATTTTAGGGTATGCGCCTTGCCTAGGTCCTAGGCACAGCCCTTTCAAAAGGCGCATGCCTGGTGCGCCTAGGAACAGTGTTTTAAAGGCGTGGGAGGCGTATGCCTGGAGGCACGCCTCTAGGTGAGGCGCTCCCAAAACGCCCTGAGGCGTATGCTAGAGGCGCTGACACCTCTGAGGCATACGCCTCTTGCGCTTTTCTCATGAGGCGTGCTAGAGGCGTAYGCCTCTTGCGCTTTTCTCATGAGGCGTGCTAGAGGCGCTGACACCTCTGAGGCATACGCCTCTTGCGCTTTTCTCATGAGGCGTGCTAGAGGCGTATGCCTCT